TGAATGCCTATTTTCACAGAGTGTCCCAAACACTTGCCACTCCAAAGTCTTGGAACATTTTTATATGACTTCAAGCTTTCATATTTTGGATCCATATTTTGTGTGTTTCTTGAAGTGTTATTTTCTTTTTGTATTTTCTTTCTTTTAACAATGATTTTTATTTTCGTTTTTAAGTATATGTATATGTGTGCGCATTTGTGCATGTGAGTGCAATGCCCATAGAGAGCAGAGGGTGTTGGGTCACCACAGCTGGAGTTACAGGCAGTTGTGAGCAGCCTGAACTCAGCCTGAACATATGTTCTACCATTGAGCAAGAGCGGCGCTCTCAACCACTGAGCCATCTCTCCAGCCCCTCAGCTTCCTATAGCGTCTGCTCATTTATTTTTCTTATTGAGGAAAAACTGTTGATATAGATGCTAATACTTCATCTAGCCCCCATCTCATCATGAGGATGCTTTGGGTTTTTAATTCATATACAGGTATATCTATTGGTGTTTTAGGAAATTGCATATTTTCTTTAAAAAATCCTATCTCTATGATTTATAAAAACTTTCTGTTCTTGTCATGCTCTATAAGAAGAGGTTGGAGCTGGGCGTGGTGGTACATGCCTTTAATCCCAGAACTTGGAAGGCAGAGGCAGGTGGCAGGCAGTTTGAGGTCAGCTTGGTCTATAAAGCAAGTTGCAGGACAGCCAGGGCTGTTACACAGAGAAACCCCGTCTCAAAAAACCAAAGGGGGAAAAAAAGGACAGAACAAAAGGAAAGAAGGGAGCAAGAGACATGCCGTGCATTGTCTTATTTACTTCCTGAGGGCTGTCTGGTTGTGAGGCTCAGTGATAGAAGACCTGCCCAGAATAGTGAGGGTGTAGTGTAGCTCAATGGTAGAATGCTGCTCAACATGCACAAGGTCCTGACTTCATTCTCAGAACCATTTTAAAAATAACAAAACCCCCAGCTTTCCAAGAGACATGAAAGACACAATTGGTGACTCACAAAAGAAATAGAAAACACTTGGAAGTCTTGTTCAAGTTTGTACTCGGATCCAGCAGTCCCAGGGCAGGGCTGAGGAGTTTTGCATCGGTCCCCAGGTGGAGCTGATGGTCCATGGGTATCTATACCAGTCAGGCTTTAGATTGCAACAAGGGTTAGCCAAGTGTGGCAGTGCACACCTGTCATTCCTGCAAGCTAAAGCAGGAGAAACATTGTGAGTTTGAGGCCAGGCTCTGCTACACAGGCCAGCCTGCCCTACAAAATAACACCATATCAGTCAATCCATCCATCCATCTATCAATCAAACCTAACAAGGGGAAGATGCTGATGGTCTTAGTGACCATTCTAACTTGGGGGTTAGGGATTCTTCTCTCTGTAATTAATAATTGTTTTGGAAACTCTACTTTCTTAGAAAGTAGAGAATCACTATTTTTTTTCTTTCCATGGTAGGATTTGAACACGGGACCTGTATGTGTGCTGGACCTATGTTCTACCATTGAGCTATATAGTTGGCCTTCTTTTTTTTTTTTTTGAAACAGGATCACTAACTCCAAGACTGGCCTTGGATTTGCCACCTTCGTGCCTCAGCCACTGGAGTAGCTGGGGTGACCGGCTTCCATTACCAGGTCTTACTTACAGTTCGTTTTCGAAAGGGAAAATGAATTCTGGGTCTTGGTGTCATAAAATATGTAGCTAAAGGGTATTAAAGGAAGACATACACAACTAAAATGTTCATTTTTGAGGGCTTTGTTGGCTGGGTAAAATTAAAGTGAAAGGTTAATTGGTGTTTGGGGAGAAATGTCACAAGCCCGTTTCTCTAGTTCTTCTCCCCAGCACTATAAACAGGCCCTTTTGTATTACTAGTTTGCATTTTTAAGATCTTATGTTATTTTATTGTGTGAGTTCCTGTATGGTTTGTATGATGATCCTGGAACCAGGCTGGAGGCAGCAAACCCCAGCCATCCTCTTGTCTCTACTCTCTACAACACTGGGGTTATAGGCTCTCATGGCCCAACCTGGCTTTTTACTTCCTGTGTTGGGGATTCATGCCCAGTGCTTATGTAGCATGCCCTCTTCTCCACTGAACTAACTCCCCAGCCTCTATTTCAGACTTCTGAGACAGGATCTCACCACATAGCCCAGGCTCACCTTGAACTGGCGATCCTCTTGCCCAACCTCCCAAGTATTGAGATTATAGACATGTAGCACCATGCCTGGCTCTCTTAGTATTATTATTAATTATTATTATTTTGTTTTTGAGAAATACTAGCTATCGTCCAAGCACACTTGTCCAGATAGTGACTAATGGGTCTTGTAAAAGGCACATAGGCTGGCGGGGAAAGACTTGTAGGAGGACTCTGGAGACCCAGATTCTTGCTCTGGGTTCAGCACGGTTGGTTTGCATATATTAAACCTTTCCGGCTTCATTTCTTCTGCTGCAGGATGGAGACCGTAATAGAGCCTCACTTTCCCAGGACGATACTGAAATAAAACATTTCCCTGAGGGGTCCCCAGACCTTCTCTGTAGCAGTGACATCTTCTATCTTGATCTCCCATAAACCGACCGTACCCTGACTCGGGTTTTGTCTTTTGCAAGCAAGTTTGCATGAAGGTTCCTGCTAACTGCCAGCTAAATCACAGCAAAGAAAGAGGCTGAGGACATTTCTGGAGTATGCAAAAGTCAAGAAGCTGCTGGAGTCCCATTGGTGCCCACGCTAGAAGGTTACAAGAATATATGTTATAGGCATTTGGAAAAGCTGAGCTGCAGGGCAAACTTGGGCCTGGCAGAGTGAGTGTGTTTCATGGCAAGAATTGCCACATGGGAGCAGGGGAAGGGAGACGAGCCTTTATTAAGTGTGGATTAGGTCATTTTCTTGCAACAGAGATGGGAATTATTCCCAACTTTTTTCCAGAAACTCATTCAGCAATTTGCCCAAATTTCACAACTTGGAAGAGCAGAGCTAACCCACCAGGTCAAATCTGCCCCACAGTTATATACTCAACACCCTGCTCCCCGCCCCCGCCCCCGCCCCCCATCTCAGAGCAAAGTAGAGGTACTTAAAGGTGGGGAGGAAAAGATCTGCACCCTTGACCTTGGATAGGTCATGTCACCTTTGTAAGCATCAATGACAACAGTTTGGTGGGTGAGATGGTGCTGCTGGCCAGCCCCGAGTTCCTTGAGCACAGCAGATGTTGCTCATTTATCCATGCTCCTGGCTTTTACATAATCCTGTAAGTTTGTAAAAGCCTACATAGTTGGCAACAGAAATTACAAATACGCCTCCCTCTACTCCCAGTCAAAATCCACATGTTCTCAGGGTGCCAGGGCTGAGGGGACACTTCTCTTCTCTGGCAACCATTGCCCTTTTAGGAGTCTTGGCATCTAGAGAACAGGGCATATTTGGCTGCATTTTTATTCCTTTGCTTTTTTTTTTCTTTTGTAGTTTGTGTAGGAAAGGGCGAAAGGCAAAGACTGGATTCTCAGTTCCTAACTCACCATCTCCATCTGCCACCATCCCTGGGCCTCAGTTTCCCCACCTTTCCTTAGTTGTTATAGATACAGGCCCGTGTCTAGAGTCAGCTCAATACAAGGGCTCTGCAAACAGGAATTGGCTCTTACAATTCTCAACCCCTTGCCTGGGGCTTTTTGTTGGCTGGGACAATCAACACAACATTACTTGTAAGTTGACACAGCGCACTTTCTAGGGAGCCAGCGCCTTGCTGGGCACACTCCCTGTCTCCTTGGCCTTCTAATCATACATGACCTCACTCAAACACCATCACATGCTCTCCGCCAACTCCCAACAACATAGGACTGAACTGTCACCTCCCAGCTCCTCTCCCCCCAAAAAATCCCAGCCTCTTGGCTCCAGCGTGCTGAGTTCACCCCATAAACTCAGCTAATGGATACCACATGCTGCTAAGGATCCGCGCCCAACCCCACCCCTCCACCCCTGAAGGCTCCCCAGACCCTGGGATGTCCTATCCTTCCCCCAGCAGGCCCTTCCTCCAGATCCTCCCACGGCGCAACGGGAAGCGCCCTGTGCTATGGTCCTGCAGGCCACGCATGACCTTGGACGCCTCTCCAAAGCCATGTCCACTCCTCAGAACAGGCTGAGTGTTTGCACCCCACGGGTGCCTCCGGTTGCTGGGAATTGCAAACTCGATCGCGCGCCTTTCGCCTTTGCCATGACAGCAACTTGGCTCACCACCCCAGCACCAGAGTCCCTGGCTGGAAGCAGGGAGGCTCCCGGGACTCATGGAGGGGTGTGCCCACCCGCCCTCCGCTCGCGGATCCCTCTGGAACGCCTGGGCCTGCGACGCCGAGGGCCGCCACACCTGTCATCCCACCCGCAGGACTCCAGGGCCCCCGGGTGTGGGAATAGGCACCGCCCCGCCGGAGCACACCCCAGCAGACAAGCCCGCCGGGGAAGCGCGTGCCGAGACGGCGCGCCGGCTGCAATCCCCGCTGAGGGTCCCTAGGGGGCGCAGCGGGCGCGGGAAGTCGCTCTGGGCCCCGGCACGAAATTGCAAGCGGGCGGGCGCGGCGAGTTTGAAAACAAGCGAGCACCGTGGGGGCGGGTCCCAGGCGCGAGAGCCGCCGGGGCTCGGCCAATCAGAGGCGGGCGGCGGGCGCGGGCGGCGCGTGCGGCCGGGCTGTGAATGGGGCGCGGCGGTGGCGGCGGCCGAGGCGAGAGCCGGCGCGCGGGCGGGCGCACTTTCTCCTCAGCGCCGGGCGGGGGCGGCGGCGGCAGAGGCAGAGGCGGCGGCAGAGGCGTTCTGCTCAGCTCCCCTCAGAGAGCGCTGCGGGGCCCGGCGCTGCGCGGCTGCGAGCAGCGAGGGCGACGTGCCGGGCATTTCCCCAGCTCGCTGACAACTTCTCCGCGGCCCGGCTCGCGGTTCATCGGAGCCCGGACGCCGCCCCTCCGCGCCCGCCGCTGCCTCCGCGGGGCTGCGCGCTCCCGCCCGCCCTGCCCGTCCCGCGGCGCCCGGGGGTGGCGGCTCCGCGGCATGGCCCGCGCCCGGCCCTCCGTGGCGGGCGGCGGCGGTGCGGCGCCCCCTGAGCGTGCGGGGCCCGGGCGGCCGCGGAAGAGCCGGACCGGCTACCACTGCGACCCCGAGCGCCCCGGGCTGCGAGCGGCGCCCCAGACCCCCGGGCCGGGCGCGGGCCGGCGGGCGGCAAAGTTGAGGCCGGGCCGCGGGTGGTGGGCGCTGCTGTTGCTCCAGCTGCACTTGCTGCGGGTGCTGGCGCAAGGTAGGTGGCGGGCCTGACTGGGGTGACACCCCCCCCGAGATGGACTTTGTGGGCGCCGCCCGGGCTTGGCTTTAGGGGTGCGCAATCCCGGGGTGGACTCTTGGAGCGCGCGCGCCGCCCGGGATGACACCCCAGGGGTGAACTTTGTGGGCGCCACCTGGTCTAGATTATGAATGGATATCTCTGAGGTGACTTTGCAAGTGGACATCTGTGGGCTGGGCTTCAGGGGTGCACAATCTTGGGGTGACACCCTGTGGTATACTTTGTGGGTGCCATCTGGGATGGGCTGTTTTGAGTGGATACCTTCGGACTGAGTTTCAGGGGTGCACAATCTTGAGGTGATACCTTTGGAGTGAACTATATTACGGGTTTACAACCCTGAGGTGACTTTGCAGGTGGATACCTCAGGGTTGAGCTTTAGGGTTGCACAGTCTTGGGGTGACACCCCTGAGGTGGAGTATGGATGCACACCTCTCAGCTGGGCTGTGAGGGTGCACACCCCTTGGGATGGCCTCTTGGAGTGGGCGCCACCTGGCATGGGTTGTATTACGAATGGACATCCCCGGGGTGGACTTTAGAAATGGATGCATCTGGGCTAGGCCATAGGGGTCTGGAATACTAGAGCGCACACCCCTGGGACGGACTGTTTGAACGGTCACTCCCTAGATTATATGAGTGCACATCTCTGGTGGACTTTAGGGTTGACACCCCTGAGGTGGATCCTGTGGGGTGCGTTCAGCCTGGAGTAGGCTATGGATAGATATCTTTGGGGTTTACTTTGGGGATGGACACTACTGGAGCAGATAACCCTGACACGGGCCCTGAGGGTGTTGGCACTTTGGATGGGCTCCATAGATGGGCGCTGCTTGAGTGGACAGCTTTGGCGTGGACTCTGGGGGTGCGCGCCGCCTGGGGTGGATCCTCTAGGGTAGACTTTGTGAGTGCAGCCTGGAGTGACCTCGGGGTTGTAGGTGCCCCTCGGCGCAGCGCTGGGAACTTTGCGAGCGTTTAGGGTCGGGATCCTCTGAATCACCGGGTCGGGACTGCGGGTCGCTAGGTCTGGAGGCAGCTAAAGGGTTAATGCGGTGTTCCTCTAATCCGCGCCGCAATCGGAGCGCGCTGACACCCAGTAGCTGGAGAATGCGCCCTGTGTGTTGTGTGTTGCATTTTCTTTTCTTTTTCTTCTTCTTCTTCTTCTTCTTCTTCTTCTTCTTTTTTTTTTTTTAAATCGGAGCCCTGGAAGAACCTTTAAAGTTGAGCCCTAGCCACCGTGGCTTCAAAGAACGCCCAGCGCGTCCTATTGCACTGATTAAAACACGAGCTGATTCGTATCTGAGTCTGCACCGCAGAGTCTTGTTAACGATGAGTGACATCCGCGGTGGACTTCAAATATCAAGTGCCAGTCACCACCAGCTGCTCTTTCCCCCCCTTCTCCCCAGGGCTGCCTCCCCTCCCCTAGTCCTGATGCCTCACCCCAAGTGGGTGCCTAGTACTCACTCTGTGGAGCAAAACTTTGAGAGCCCACAGCTTTGCCTCGGGCTTTGTTTTTCTCCCTCGGTTGGCTTCTGTTTGGAACACGGAGGTGTTCTCCAAAATAAGGAAAGGGGATCTGCGGATTCCAGGTGACCTTTTGCAAATGGAGATGGACTCTCTCCCGAAAGAGCTTTCCCTCCTAAATCTGGATTTCCCCTGCTTAAACCTCAAGCATACATGTGCTAGTCAGCTTCCTCTTCCCCGGGGAGGTTGCTGGTCTCAAAACAGAAAAACCAGACATAATCGTGTTAACATGACTTTTGATGGAGTCTTTAAAACAAATAGTGAACCTGGTTTGCTCTTGGTAGTTTAGAAAAATTAACTTTCGAGTTCATTTCTTGTATCCTGGAAGCTTACCAAAGTAAGGCGTTGAGTATTTGGAGATTGAAGGAAACAGGTAGATTATACTTAAATTATGAAGAGCCGTGTTCTTTGTTATTTGTGCCATAAGTTACGTGTGGTAAAACCCCAGTGATTTAAATACAATACTTAAAAGTCAGACTTCAAAATTACAATGAGATAGCTTAATAAGACTCTAATAACTTAATATTCTTATTTGAGCTTATCTAATGTTATCTGGGTGGCAGCCCTCTTCCTCTTAGATTTTGATAAATGCCCCCTTTCATGTTTTCTGTATGGAAACAAATCACCGTGTTTCTGGTTACTTTTAGCCCTCCACACCTAACATCCTCATTTCACTTTTTTTCTGGCACCTTTTACCTAAGGATGTTATCCAGAAGGAAAAGCGTTTACTGATTGTGTAAAATGGAATCTGTAGGTTGTCAGAGGAACCAGGTTCAAGTGAAGAAATCGAGATCACTTAGGATGACCTTCAGAGATGGAGTTCAGTTTCTCTTCTCAAAAATGAAAGTGACTTTCACTTGACGACAGTCACCTATACATTTGAAGATTGGCACACCACTTTGAACAGTGGGAAAGATCTGCTACAGCCCTTGAAGTGTATTAGAGTTTATCAGCTGCACCTTGCATGCCCTATAAAGTGTTGCCCTTTCACAATTATAATGTTAGTGAAAATTATTAATTTTTATAAATACATGTACTAGGCAACAGCCATACTTTTCAAAGAGAGGAATCATTTATTACTTCTTGCCAATAAAAACACAGGCACCCATTTCACATTTATATGGTGCACGAAAGTATGCAGATCTTTTAGTGTAAAATTTCAAATAGGTTGTCACAAATTTTAAATTCATCGACAGGTTTCTGTTCTTTGTGCTATGTGAAATGTGTAATATATCCATCATTTTTTATATCGTATTGAAAATTCATATTACAGAGGAGATGTCACCATTTGACAAAACCTCATGTATCTTGAAAATGAAAATTCCGGTGCCGCTGTCGAGATTTCTGATGAGATGATGAGTTGGTCATATGCACAGGAATGCTTTCTCTAGAATCCTTTCAGATAAAATGTAACATTTTGCATGGAACAGTTACCACTAAGTTGAAACTGTCATAATGCCATATTGATACTGTGTATCTATCTAAGGCCATTTCTAATTCCTCTGTTGGGTTTTCCTCTTAGGATACTTCCTATGGGTCGGCTTGGTCATGATTTCTAGCAGACAATGAGGGCAACATGTTTACTAAAAGTTATATATGTATAGCTGAAGTTACAAGCAGGGAATAGATTTCTGGCCATGATGTAAAGCACCAGGTTTGGATCTTACAAGTGTAACTTCAGGATGTACTGCAGTTTCTTCTCTGTACATGGAAATGGAAATTATATTCTCTGCTTATTGGTGTGTGTTTAATTGTTCATGACTCGTCTGGATTTTTAAAATGCCAGGTTGTTAGTTCTGGAAGGCAGGTGGCAATGCATGCTTTCTTTATGCTGTGCACCAAGTATGAGTGGTTCAGAAAGAGGGCTTCTGAGGCAAGGGATGCATCATAGGGACAGGGGTGTCTTGGGCTGGAGAATTCTGTTTCTCTGGAGCTGGGGTGGCTCCATTGATAAAATGCTTGCTGGGCAAACATGAAGAACTGAGTTCAGATCCATAGCACTCACTTAAAAGTCCTGATGACTCTAACACTGAGGGAGGGGTAGGACAGAGTCAGGCAGATCCTTGGAGCTGCTTGGCCAATCAGATTAGCAAAATTGCTAAGCTCTGGCTTCAGTGAGAGACCCTGTCTCAAAAAAGATGTTATTTCCAGTCTCTTGGATCTTCTCTTCTCAAATACTGCATTACAATCAGGTGGACATTTGAGGGTATGCAGGACCAGCTCATTTCGGGTGAGCCACCAAGTGCTTTCCAGGTGACTCTCATGTCCACTGTCGCTTGAGAATCCCTGGCTACATTGCTTTTTGTCTCACTCCAGTTACCAGCTGACTTTCTGGAAGCTTCCCTAAGCCAGTGTTTCACAGCTTGGCTGCACACTAGAATCCTTTGGGAGCTCTGAGGCAGGATTGGACTTCTAGACTTTGTTGACTTGAGGTTTGAGCTAAGCAGTAGGATCTCTAGACTCCCCAGTTGGTTCTAATGATTAGTCAGGTTTGGGAACCGCTGTTCTGTGAGACTCCATTCCCCCTTTAATCTTGTCCCCAAGCCTTCAGATCTTAGTGGCTTTTATGGACCTGGAATCTGTGTTCGCTCAAACCCTGCATGGGTCCTGGGCTCATTTTCTAATCAGTCCTTTTAGTTTGCATTGTGTCCCTTGCTAATGAAACTGTTCAGCTCCTGCCTTGTGCTGCTCTGAGGATTGCATTAGAATCATTAGTGACATTTATTTATATGACAGGGTTTCCTGTGACACAGGCTCCCCACGCAAACTCACTGTGTAGCTACCGATAACCTTGAACTTCCGACTTCTACATCCTGAGTTCTTGGATTCTGTGACATGTACCACCATACCCAGTTTATTGCTAGTGAAATTGAAAGAGTACGGTTGCCTAGGCTTCACACCAGACATGCTAGGTCTCAAAAGAATATATTTAAAAAGGTTCCATGTTCTGTATGGCTCAATGGTTAAGAGCACACATGGCTTTTCACAACTATCTGTAACTCCAGTTCCAGGGGATCTGATGCCCTCTTTTGGCTTCAGAGGGCACTGCACACATGTAATGCACAGGTATATGTTCAGGAAACACCCATACACAGAAATATATTTTTTTAAAAAGGGGGTTCTACATGTGAGCTTGTCATATTCTATTTTGCTTCTATCCTTGTGTTGCTAATCCCATAATCTCACTGAATTTGCTGGCACTCTTACCCAATTTTCCTATGGTCTGAGCCACTTTCCTCATGCCATTTCCCAGCTGTGGGTAAAATCTGCTAATTATCCTTTCTGCCACTTGTTTGATGGGGAAGTAACAAAGCAGTGTTAATTGAGGTCACTGCAAGTCTAGCCTCCCTTTGAGCTCTTATTGTTTTCCATTAATCCATATGTGCTTTGTGGTCCCTTCTTCCTCTTACCCTCTGAACCAATTCCTTAATTCTGTAGTTTGA